CTCTCTCACAAGCACACGCACACACAAACAAACACATACACACACACACAAATAATACTCACTTTAAAAACGTCATCTGTATAGTGTACATGACACGTATGATATATGCTACATAATATGCCATCATCATCATCATCATCATCATCATCATCATCATAGAGTGTCATATCCGAAACAGACATCGGCGATCACCGTTCTCCTTAATATTTGTCCGCTCGGGGGATCTTGATAGTTTATGTTATATGAATGTAGATAACTCAGAAACAGAGCAGCTTGTCGTCAAAGTACCCCGCCTGTAGGAACCAGCACGACACCGGCCCGTCCTCCTCCTCCATATCCTGGAGCTTAGTGAAGGTGAGGAAGATCTGTTCCAGGGAGGTCTCGTGGACAGAGTAGTCCTTCGGAATAATAAATATGTTGTATAGTTTGGATGTCAGAATTGTATTAATCACGGTGAGATTATCAATAAAGGTGCTACCTCCGAATGGGACATCCAGATCCGATATGACTAAGCCAGGTGGATAAAAAACACTTTGAAAAAATGCTCTTTGGGTGTTTGAACTGGGCTCATACGCACAGTAGCTGAGTTTATACGAACTGAGATATCTGTGTTTGTACCCAGATTTTTGAGGCTATGCAATAACAACATCACACGCCACACACTCACGCATGCACGCAAAAATACACATCCAAACACATTTTTATATAAACATATCTGTAAAACATACATGGCACGCATGATAATGCACTGCTATCATCATGAAGTGGCAGATCTGAAGCAGTCATCGGCAAACACGGTCCTCATTTCTTATTTCTCCGCTCTTAGGCTCATGATAATTCATGTTCTATGAATGTAGATGCATCAGAAACAGAGCAGCTTGTCGTCAAAGAACCCCGCCTGTAGGAACCAACACGACTCCGGCCCATCCTCCTCCTCCATGTCCTGGAGCTTGGTGAAGGTGAGGAAGATCTGTTCCAGGGAGGTCTCGTGGACAGAGTAGTCCTCCAGGCCCAGCTCAAGCTTACACGTCTCCATCACGGAGAACACGTCGGCGAC